CCTCCCCCTTTTCCTCCTCCTCCTTTTCCCCTCCTCCCCCTCCTTCCCTCCTCCTCCCCCCTCCCCCTCCTTCTCCTTCTCCTCCCCCCTTCTCCTCCCTTTTCCCTTTCCTCCCCCTCCTTCTCCTCCTCCTTTTCCTCTCCTTCTCCTCCCCCCTTTCCTTTCCCCCCTCCTTTCCTCCCCCCTTTCTCCTCCTCCTTCTCCCCCTCCCCTCCTCCCTTTTCCCCCTTTCCTTTTCCCCCTCCTCCTCCTCCTCCTCCTCCTCCTCCTCCTCCTCCTCCTCCTCCTCCTCCTCCTTTCCTTTCCTTCTCCTTTTCCTTTCCTTCTCCTTTCCTCCTCCTCCTCCTTCTCCCCTCCCGTCTTTGTGCGAGTGTTTTTTGGGTTATAATTGTTTTGGTCGAAGTCGGCATGTCAAAGGACATATTTTTTCTCATTAGTCACTACCCCCACCCCCTGTCAAAAAAAATGGGTCAATTTCTGCTTCCCTCCTCCATGCTATCTAATTATCTTTCCCCTCATTCATATCTTTTAATCGTCTCTCTTTCTATCTGTCTCCTATCCTGTCTCACAGGAACATAAATACAAGTATACTTTGTGTAAAATTTCCTAGGAAAAACCCAAAAATCCCGACAAAGTGCTTACCTGCTTTAGATGGAGTAACGTGATACACAGTCTTGTGGGTCTCCCCCTGAGACAGAGGCTAGATGGACGACAGGGGCTTGACAGACAGACAAATAGACAGACAACAAATGTTTTTGTACAGCAAAAAAAAAAGGGAGGGCGATGGTCTGTAATATTACCCTCCTTAGCTCATCAAAGTCAGCTTTATCAATGTTATCTCCCCCTTTTCTTGTCACTGTCTGGGGTGGACTTTTTTTTTTTTTGCTTCAAGGGGAAAATTTATTTCATCCCCTCCTCCTCCTCCTCCTCCTCCTCCTCCCCCTCCCCTCCTCCTCTCCTCCTCCTCCTCCTCCTCCTCCTCCTTTCCCCTCCTCCCCCTCCTCCCTCCTCCTCTCCTCCTCCTCCTCCCCTCCTTCCCCCCTCCTCCTCCCTCCTCCCCTCCTCCTCCTCCTCCTCCTCCCCCTCCTCCCTTCCCTCTCCTCCTCCCCTCCTCCTCCTCCTTTCCTCCTCCTCCTCCTCTCTCCCCTCTCCTCCTCTCCTCCCTCCTCCTCCCTCCTCTCCTCCTCCTCCTCCCCTCCTCCTCCTCCTCCTCCTCTCCTCCTCCCCTCTCCTCTCCTCCCTCCCTCCTCCCTCCTTCTCCTCCTCTCCTCCTCCCTTCCCCTTCTCCTCCCCTCCTCCTCCATTTCTTTTGTCTCAAAATCCCCAAATCTGAAATTGATCTTACTGCACTCCACGTGTTAAACATCATTGGGAAAAGAAGAGCCCAGATTTGCGGGGAATCACATATTTTTTTCCCCTAGACATGCTAAAAGGACCTAAAAGGCATTCCCACAATTACCACTGGGGTCCCCGATTTTTTTTTTATGGTGCACATGACCATGGAGACCCTTCTCTCACGTGGGCCTCCAGTTTCTCCTGCTTGATTTGAAGCTGCTGAATTTACGTATAAATAGAGGGAAAAATTGGGTCTAAAAACGTATTTATACGTCGGAAACAGTCAAAAGGGTTAAAACAATAAAAGTAAAATACACACAAAGTAAACCTAAAATTTGTGTTTAATGTAGGGTGAGGGTGAGTTTTATTTGTAGGAATCAAACTGCCCGGGAAGGCCCGCCCTCCCCGCCCCCCCCCACCCACATAATTTAAGCAAATAGGCAAACATCTGGTGTTCGTTCTCATGTTTGTATTATCCATAATAAAAACAGGTTAATCAAGAATTGAGAGGGAAAAAAATGAGGGTGCTTGAGGTAAATTTTGGGTCAAAAAACGTTATCTTGGAGGGAAAGAAGAGAAGGGACTACTTTTTTTTACAACAACCCTTTTATGGATGTGAAGCTTTGGGGGGTAAAAGAGCAGCGAGGAGAGGTTGGGGGCATGGAGATGTCCGTTTAAGGGGAATGTGTGGTGTAAATATTATGCAGAAAATTGGGGGTGTGGAATTAGGGGAAAAAGGGGTGGAGTTTAAAAAAAGATTAGTTAAGGGGGCAGAAGAGGGGTTTGGGGTGGTTTTGGCATTTAGAGGATGGTCAAAGAGAATGCTGGAAAGCATTAAATCATAGGGGAAGGAAGGGGGGGGTAGGGGGGTCCCGAAAGGGTTGGAAGAGGGGTAAAGGAGGTTTGTGGGCAAGGTGGCTTGGACTTCCAGAAAGGGGCGTAGGTGTTAGATAGGAGGAATGGGACGAATGGGACTTGGGGCCTGCGTCTTTGGGGGTGTGAGCAGGTAATATTTAGTGAAGGGATTCAGGGAAAAAAAACCCGGTTAATTTTTATATAGTGGGCTTTAGTTCTGGAAATGGGAAGTACAATGCCTGCACTTTTTAAAGGGGGGTTTGGGTATTGGCAGTTTGGAGGGATATGTTGTGTATCTTTTTTTATCCCCAAAGGGTATTTTGAGCACCTTCAAAAACAGGATAATTTGCAGTGTGGTGAAAGTGTTGATGTGTGAAATTTTTTTTTTTGGGGGGTTTTCTTTTTTTTTTGGGTCACCCGCCCGGTGGGGAGACGGCCGCTTGTTGAAAAAAAAAAAAAAAAAAAATTTAATTGTAACAAGTTGTCCCCACGTTGATACAGTAGAATAAATAAAGACCAACACTTCCATTCTCATATAATTTTTAGAAGGAATGATGCTCTGACAAATTATTATTACAAATTATTATTACAAGTTATTCATTATTAGAAGTTGTTATTATTATAATCATAATAAAAGAAGCACTAAACCACAAGGGGTTTTGAAAGCTATGATAATAAAGGCATACGATAGGAATAAATTTCTAGTTAAGTAACTGGTGTTTGACTGGAGAAAACGTAATTCTTCAGTTCTTCCAACAATGCTACAAACCGCTTGGTAAACAAATCTCATATTTATGTCAATTTTTATACTGTGGGTGTATGTATCATGTTTATATGTTATGTAACGTGTTTAATATATAATTTTGAAAAAATATCATAGATGGATTAATGGAAATGTCTATATTAATTTAATATATGACATTTAATGTGCCCAAGAGATTATATGGCATCGCGTAGAGAGACTCCTAGTGATTTTAATGTTTATCTGCATGCCAGCACAGTGTGTAATTATATTTAGGTACAGAGTACAGTGGACCCCCAGCTAACGATATTAATCCGTTCCTGAAAGCTCATCATATCCTGAAATTATCGTTAGCTGAATTAATTTTCCCCATAAGAAATAATGGAAATCAAATTAATCCGTTCAAGACACCCCAATGAAAAAAAAAAAATTTTTTACCACATGAAATATTAATTTTAATACACACAAACTGACACTTACCTTTATTGAAGATAAGATAAGATAAGATTTCCTTCGGATTTTTAACCCCGGAGGGTTAGCCACCCAGGATAACCCAAGAAAGTCAGCGCGTCATCGAGGACTGTCTAACTTATTTCCATTGGGGTCCTTAATCTTGTCCCCCAGGATGCGACCCACACCAGTCGACTAACACCCAGGTACCTATTTGCTGCTAGGACAACAGGTGTAAGGAAACTTGTCGAAATGTTTCCACCCGCCGGGAATCGAACCCGGGCCCTCCGTGTGTGAAGCGGGAGCTTTAGCCACCAGGCCACCGGGCCTGGTGATGATTGATGGGATGGGAGGTGGGGAGAGTGTGGAAGTTGTTAATGTTTAGAAGGGGAATCCCCTTCCATTAGGACTTGAGGTATCAAGTCCTTTTCCGGGGATACTTCCCTTCTTCTTTTAATGCCACTAGGACCAGCTTGAGAGTCACTGGACCTCTGTCGCACAACATATCTGTCCATAGAGGCCTGTACCTCCTGTTCCTTTATGATTTGTCTAAAGTGGTTCACAACATTGTCATTGTAATAGTCACCAGCACGGCTTGCAATAGCTGTGTGAGGGTGATTTTCATCCATAAAGGTTTGCACTTCAAACCACTTTGCACACATTTTCTTAATCTCTTTCTTCATATCTATAGTAATTCTCTCCCTTTTTCCTGCAGGGTTGGCACTAGAAGCTTTCTTGGGGCCATGGTGACTTATGTTGCAGGTACAATCACTAAAAACGCTGTGATAATATGAAATGTTCCGATTGTATGCGTGGATGCGACCGCACTGGCTGACCTGTAAACACTGGCACCCACGGGACAACTGAGGCGCGCTCAGGCCACATGTGGACGCGTCTCAAACGAATCGCGTAGGGCGAGATTTTTAGCGTTAGCCGAGGCAAAATTTTTGCGTTAAAATGTATCATATGCTGGATTTAACGTAAGGTGATGCCATTGTTAGCTGCGGGTCCACTGTTTATATAAAATCTGCAATAACTTTAAAACACTTGAAATTTTGGAAAATTTCCAGACATGATAGAGTTGTGCTCACGGAGAATGTAAACATACTGGGTGGGGCTCATTATATTTGAAAAAACGCTCACTGTATAGCAAATTTTGGTCATAATTTGAAATCACCATATTAGCGGAACGCCGTAAGGTGAATTGACGTAAGGCAAAACACCGTAAAGTGGGGCCCTACTGTACAAATTTTTATTTCTTTGCAAAGGTTAAGTACAAAGAAAGCCACTATCATGCTTGAGCATATATGGCAGACTAATATTAATGCTTACGTACTATTTAAAACTAGACATAGGTTATGGAGTAGTGAATTTTCTTTATTATATTACCTTATTACCAAATAGAGGTAACCAATAATTTTTTAATTAATAAGATTTATAGTAGTGAGATAACAAAATGCAAATAACAGTATTACGATTAGTACAAATTACAGTGTTACAACAGTACAATTTTAAGCATGTTTTAATGGGTAATGAGGGCTCATACTTTTTTATTTTATTTTCTAGTAGAGTTGTTTACTTTATTAGTTTATGGTTTTGTGATTACTGTATTTGTGGATAACACTGTACTTTTTGATTTTCAGTTTAGGACTTTGACAGTAGAAATTTGCAGCACTTAAAAAGATGGATGCCATTAAGAAATTTTTTGAGAAGAAGAAAGCAGATGCTAAATTCAAGGTTTCTGGACAAGGACACAGGTACTGCAATTTCAGTAGAGCATTACTTTTCTCATTTCCTGTTCATTCATGTGTGTTAGACCATCAGTTATTGCTGGTGTTTTGTTCTTGAAAATTTGTGTGTAATCTTATTTAGCCCTAACTGAACTGAAGATTGTATGTGAAAAACAGGGTTATGTTCCACAGATCCAAAAATGCCAAGCAATTTTTTTTTCAGTGTCCACATGTATCAAAAAATGTAGTTTTTCTTACCTTGCTTTTGTTAGTATTACTTGAAGTATTTGAAGAGTGTGAAGATTGTTCATGTAGGCCTACTGGGCTGTGATGAATGTAGTGAGGCTTATCATGAATATATTATTATTTTTTTTTATTAACACTTTGGCTGTTTCCCACAAAGGCAGGGTGACCCGAAAAAGAAGAAAAAGTTTCATAATTTACTCCATAACTCTTGCCAGAGGTGTTCCGACACTACAGTTCAAAAACTGCAACATGTCTCCATCCCTCCTTCAGAGTGCATGAACTGTACTTTCTACCTCCAAGACTCAAGTCCGGCTGACCATTTTTCCTGAATCCCTTCACAATTGTTACTTTGCTCGCACTCCAACAGCATGTCAAGTCATAAAATCCGTTTGCCTCCACTTGCTCCTATCTAACATGCTCACTCACGATTGCTGGAAGTCTGAGTTCCTCGTCCACAAAACCTAGTTTTCCCCCTCCCTCTAACCTTTCCTTGGATGACCCCTACCCTGCCTTCATTCCACTACAGAAATATGCCCTCCAAGTCACACTATTTTATTCCACCCTCTCTAAATGTCTGAACCACCTCATCAACCCCTCCTCAGCCCTCTGGATAATACTTTTACAAGCCCTTCACCACCACCTAATCTCCAAACTGCATAATATTCACACCAAACATTGCCCTCAGACAACATCTCCACTACCTCCAGCCTTCTTGTTGCAAATTGCACCACCCATGCTTCACATTCATATAAGAGCATTATTGGTACCACTATACTTTCATACATTCCCCCTTTTTGCTTCCATGGATAATGTCCTTTGTCTCCACAGACTCCATAGTATACCACTCGCCTTTTTTCTCTCGTCAGTTCTGTGGTTTACTTCGTCTTTCATAGCCCTATCTACTGACATTTCAACTCCCAGATATCTGAACACATTCACTTCCTACATACTCCCTCTAGTCTGATATCTGGTCTTTAATTATCTAATTTTTTTTGTTATTCTCATCACCTTGTTCTTTCCTATGTTCACTTTCAATTTCCTCCTTTTACACACCCTCCCAAATTCATCCACCAATCTCTGCCACTTCTCTTCGGAATCTCCCGAAAGCACACTGTCATTGGCATAAAGCAACTGCGATATCTTCCACTTTGTGTTAAGATTCAGATTCCTTATCTTTTAATCCCACAGCTCTTCCCAACACCCGAGCATTCACTTCTCTTACAATCCCTTCTGTAAATATATTGAACAACCATGGTGACATCACACATCCCTGTCTAAGGCCTACTTTTTTTTTTTTTTTTTCAACAAGTCGGCCGTCTCCCACCGAGGCAGGGTGACCCAAAAAAGAAAGAAAATCCCCAAAAAGAAAATACTTTCATCATCATTCAACACTTTCACCACACTCAACCATTATCACTTTTTTTGCAGAGGTCCAGAATACAACATTTTTGAAGCATTACGATAAAGATACAAACATCCCCCAAACTGCCAATACCCCAAACCCTCCTTTAAAGTGAGGATTGTCTTCCCATTTCCAGGACTAAAGTCCGCTATATGAAAAAAACCCGGGTTTTTCCTGGAATCCCTTCACTAAATATTATCCTGCCCCTCCAACGATCGTCAGGTCCAAGTACCATTCGTTTCCATTCACTCCTATCTAACCGCTCATGCCGCTTGCTGGAAGCCAAGCCCCTCGCCCAAAAAAACCCCCTTTCCCCCCTTTTTCCCAAACCCTTTCGGGGGACAACCCTACCCCCCCTTCCTTTCCCCCTATAGTTTTATGTTTTCCCTGTCATTCTACTTTATCCATTTCTTTAAATGACCAAACCACCTAAACAACCCCTCTTTGCCCTCGGGACTAATGCTTTTTTAACTCCACACCTTCCCCTAATTTTCCACATCTAAATTTTTCTCATAATATTTACACCACACATTGCCCTTAGACAGGACATTCCACGCTCCAACCGTCTCCCGCTGCTGCATTTACCCCAAGTTCAATCCAAAAGAGTTTTGGGTACTATATACATTCAACATTCCCTTTTTTGCCCCCATAGAAAAATTTTTTTTGACTCCACATATACCTCAATGCACCATCCCTTTTTCCCCCTCTCAATTCTTGATTAACCTAAACCCTTCTAAATCCATCTGCCAACAGTCAACTCCCAAGTATTGAAAACATTCACTTCTTCCATATCCTCCCCCCCAATTTGTATCCATTTTTCTTTATCTAAAACATTTGATACCCCCATCACCTTATTCTTTTTCTTGTTTACTTTCAAAATTTCTACCCTTTTCACCTTCCCAAACTCATCCCCTAACCTTTGCAATTTTTTCTTTAGAAAACTCCATAAGCACAGTTATCAGCAAAAAAGTAACTGTGTAATTCCCATTTTGAATTTTATTCCCCATAATTTAATCCCCCCCTCTCCCCAATACCCCAGCATTTTAATTTTTTAAACCCCATCTATAAATATATTAAACAAATGGGGAATTACAATTGTCCAGACCCCTTTTTACCGGGAAGATTCTCCCTCTCTTTACACACCCAACCTGAGCCTCATATCCTCATAAAAGTCTTTCGCATTTAGTAACTTACCACCTATTCCCCTTTACTTGCAACATCTGCACATTGCTCCTCATCCACTCTATCATATGCCTTTTTAAATCCGGGAAATGCAATAAAAACTTCCCACCTTTATTTAAAAAACTGTTACATATTTGTTCAATGTAAACACTGATCTACGCTCCCCTCCATCTGAAGCCCCCCTGCTCTCGCAATCCTACATTTTGTTTACCTCTAATTCTTTCAAATTTTAACCTACCGTATACTTTTCCTGGTTACTCAGTAAACTTATTCTCTATAATTTTTACCCTCTCTTTTGTCCCCCCTTTTCCCCTTTAAAAAGGGATATACATGTTCGGGAATCCCAGGTACCTTCCCCCCTTTCTACATTTATTAAAAAAAGTACAACCATCCAACACTATTCCCCCGCTTTTCATTTCGTCATGATCCCAATTTTCCGTGCTTTACCCCCTTTATTTTCGTAATGTCTCCGTCCTCCACCCACTTACATTTGTCTTCTTTACTCCAAAAAGTGGTATCCCCCCGGCCCGTGCATTTTTTCCCCTAAGCTTTCTTAACTTGTTTGCTCCCCCAAAAAATTTTTTTTTATTTTCATTAAAATTTTTTTGGACAGTCCCCTCTCCCACTTATCACTGTTTCCCCCTTTGCACTCTCTACCCTCTCTTCCCCTTTCTTTTACTCTCCATATACTTGCTCTTCTTAAAAACATTTTGCTTTGTAAAAAACCTTATAAGTACCTTTTTTTTTTATACCCCCTTTTTACTTCCCTTTCCACCAATCACCCCTCTTTCCCCCTGCCCCCCCCCTCTTAAAACCCCAAAAATTCTGCTCACATTTAATATGCTTTTTTAAAAAACTATTCCAACCTCTTCAACCCCCCCCTATTCATTTTTTGCACTAGCCCACCTTTCTCCCAATAGTGGCTTATATCTCGCCCGAACCCTTTTCCCCCCTTTTGTTTATAATTTTACCCCCCTTTATTGTTGCCACCTTCCTTTTTTCCCCATTACCTCTTACTCTAACTGTAGCTACAACTAAATAATGATCCGATATATCAGTTCCCCCCTTTTAAAAAAATGCAACCCGGAGCCTCCCCAAACCCTTTTTTACCCCACCAATACTAATCTAAAAAACTCTTTCATTACGTGTCATCATACCTTGTTATTTTTTACCTCTTTTTCAAAAAAATTTTATTACTTGTTACCAAATTTCTTTTACACATAGTAAAGGGGGTTCCCATTTCTATACCCCTGGCCCCCAGATTTACCAAAATACTCCCTCCAAAACATTTTTACCCACTTTTTAGCATTAAAATTTCCCCAACCCCCATTACTTCCATTTATTCAAAAATCCCCACGATTTACTAACATTTCCCCCGAATCTCTCTTCTCCCTTTCTTTTTTCTTTTCCAGGTGCATACACGCTTACTGTAACCCACTTTTTTTACATCCAATTTTATTTTTTCCCCATAATCCTTGAATTTTTACATTTGTTCCTTTTTCCCGCCTAGTTTCCCTTTAAAATTATTTTATGCTTTTTTAGCTTAACTCTATTTGAAACCCCTGACCTAATCCCTTTATTCCCCGTTGAAAAATCTCCCACCCCTTTGCTTTGTTTACTTAAAGCCAGGGTCCATTTCTTTTTCATTCATAAAAACCCATCATCTCTTTCTTATCTTTGCACACATCCAGACATTTAGACTTCCCACTTTGACAATTTTTTTTATTCTTTTTAGTAAAACTTTACAGGAAAAGGGGGGGTTTTTAGCCCCTTGTTCCCGGCCATTTTAGTTGACTTTTACAACAGCTGGCTTCGGGGAAAGATTCTTATTCCCCTTCCCCCTGGATATAAAAGGAAAAGAATAAGACAAGCTTTAAAATAAAAACAAAGAAAGCGTGGGGTGTTTTGTTTTTGTATGTGTGTGTGCTAAGTGTGTTTGGATATTAAAATAATTTTTTTTTTTTGTGTATAATTTTACCTGAGTATGTCCCCAAAAATGATTGGTTTCCTAACCCCCACCCCTTTCCTACATCCGTAATTTTTTCCTATTGTTCCTTTCCCCCAAAAAAATTGCTTTTCCCAAATCCCTAAATGTTACAAAAACCTTTTATTTTTTTTTTTTATTATTACACGTTATTAAAGGCAGGGGGCCCCAAAAAAAAAACGCTTTCATCGGGCTTCACTCCATCACGTCTTG